TCAACTCTCACTTTGTGATGTCATGTGGTAAGACAGGAAGTGCTCCACTGTGTTTTTAAACTCCATACACCTTCACTAGAATCATTTGGATCATTTCAGAGCTGGAAATGGAACAGAGCATTTTGATCTTTGGAGATGTAGATAGATTAATAATAAAGGATTACTCAAACAAAACACAACTCCTGGAATATTTTTTGAGAGGGTAACACAATTTTAATATGGCTTAAAAGTGCACTGTGTAATTTTTCTGGTTGAGGATCCACCATCTGCTTCTCTCCATAGAGATGTTGCTTTGTCTGGAATGTCCCAGTATGACAATAAACATATCCATCTTGTATTTACAAAGTAACATGGGTTTTTATTGACTTGCATTCTTACTATGAGTGGGCTTGCCTCTACACAGATTAGACCTGTAACTTGACCCTCAAGCATCACTTGCTGTCTCCGTAGAGATAAATAAGTCTAACATTGTGGAACATTTACAGCAACATCTCTATGGAGAGAAGCTGGTGATGGACCCTCCACCAGAAATAGTGTAATATAGGACCTTTAAATTTCCAGTGAAAATGTGAGGAAAATCACCCAGATTGGATTGGAGACCCCTTTTGCCAATGAATATAAGAAGATTACAATAAACACATTGCAATTTTCTTCACCACATTTGTTTCTCTAATTGTCTAGCATCTTTTCTGTGCTACGGCTATTTTGTTTACGCTAAATGAGTCCATAAGTAGCATGTCTTGTTTGAGCCAGTCCAAGTAATCAGAAGAGGGCCTTTCTCTCCTCGGGCCTGTACGTAATTGTCCCTGTGTTTTGGCTGGCGAGTAGAGAGGGCTAATTGAGACATTAAGAAAGCGGAGGTGGCGTCTAGAGCCCTCCTTGGTTTGTAATGTCCTTCTGTCTCTTGTTCACCCTACAGGCTTAACACAAAGGAAGATGCAATAGCTTAGAGGAGCTATGTTACGCTATTTTTTGATCCGTTATGATGTTTTCTTGTCAAAAACACACCTGGAGTTGTGTTTTGTTTCATTCACACATGTTTAACACACAAGGCCTGCATATTTAGGGTTCTTCTCTCAAACGGAAAATGACTTGTGATGTCATGGTAATACAGGAATTGCTCCACTGTGTTTTTAAACTCCATACACCTTCACTAGAATCATTTGGATTATTTCAGCCCTGGAATTGACGATCTCTGCTGAATAAAAGGTGAAAGGTAGATGTTAACTGGAAAACTACAGCTTCTTGACATCACAAGGTAGAACAGAACATTTTGAGCCTTAGAGATGTAAATACTGTGTAAAAATGTTATGGAGATGCTAAGAAAAATCCTGCCAAGCCTGTAGTTTAGACCAGTGTTTCACAAACTTTTTTTCTCATGACCCATATTTTAAAAGTCACAAACCTTCCCGACTCAAGTCAAGTGACATTATTTGAAAATCACGAAATAAAAGTGGATTTGACGATTATTGAACATTAATGAGGATATTTTATTGTTGACTGAGTGATCGTGTCTCTCTGAACAATAAGTATTATTCAAGGTTTAAACAATGAAAAACCGTAACTGAAGCAACAATAAAAGGATCCATAAGTCGCCTATTTGGACATTAAATGTAGCCCATTTCTTTTTCTTTTCAACATTCAATTGAACCACCGCATTGGAACAAAATAGTCTGTAGAACTGTATATTGCAGACCCAATTGCAGATTGTGACAAGGCGACCCAAAAAATTTCTTGTGACCCAGTCTTTCGGAAACAATGGTTTAGATGTTCACTCATGTTTAGATGATTTTCTGAAATACATTGGATTCTTATAGGCGTATTTGTTTATTAGTTCTTTTTTCAGTTTTCTTCCTAATGCCCCTAGATCCTTAAAACTTTCCACTTTTAAATCTTGCAAAACTTAAATTGCAATATATTAATGTTTTTTGCCTTAGTGGACATAACAGTATAATATTTTTGACATTTACCCGTTGCACCTTTAGACCATACATTTAATAAATTAGCGTTATAAACCATTATAATATAACTGTCATTCCTCGATTCCATCTTTTAAAACAAGTCCTTAACAAGACAGACTTTGAAACTTTGCCCGGGAGGTTGCACAGAGCAGTGTGGAAGGTCAAGCTGAAGCCCCTAGTGCGTCTCATTTAGACCTAACTATTTAAATGAATGCATACCGATGAGGGGGTGAGGGCTCATGTAAGGGAATACCAAGAAATGAACCACTCTTCGCCTGTGTCCATTTAAAAATTCTCGTAATGGAGATTATAATTATTGTATAACATTTACATAATGCAGTGCTATTAGCATGGGGGACTAGTGCTTGGGCCTATGACGGAGTGGGATTCATTAAATGCAGTAAAAGTGTAATCACGGGTATGTCAGAGCTCTGGGTCTATGAAGTGTCTCTGTGCAGGCTTTCATTTGTACATAGCTCCACTGTTCCATGGAGCTGGTTAATACTGTGGCTACTCACTGGACATGGCTCTTCTGATACTCATTCACTTTTAATATTTAAACAAGTTGTAGCTACTATAGACTGAATAAAGAAGTGGACTAAGGGAGTGTGACGTCACTCAGAGTTCAGCTCCAGTCAAATGAAGCTCATCGAGGCCACCAATAGGCTCTATTCATGTTCATGTCACAAACCAGGAAGATGTTTGGAAACATGCACTGACAACTTCTGTAGTAAGTCTGACAAAATGTAGGAAAAATGAGAAAATTGGCCAGTTTTCTTAATCTACCTGCCATTGTAGCATTCTATTATGTTCGGCTAATCAACAATTACAACCACACCTCAGTTTTCATAAATTCCCCCCTGACGCACAACTCTGAGTGCACTGGGTACTTGCAATTAGAGAAGATGAGGCTGCATAATTCAGTATTATTCCAAACAGCACATACGTATGCATATGCAGTCTTCATTTTACTGCTGATGACATTTACTTCGATGGGTTTTATCACAGTCTGTAGGCGAGTCCAGTGTCGGGAACTACACCCGAAGTTGTCTTTGGATGTTTCCAAACAACATAATCGACGTAAGCGTGAATAGAGCCTGTCATAGGATTTGTAGCAGAGTTCCATATTAGGAATTCCGACCAAAGAGCAACAAAAGAGACAATCAGGAGTGAGACTGTTGAAAGCAGCGCCTCTTCCTGTCCGCACCGCCGGTTTGGGAGGGTAAACTTAGCTAAGTGTTTCATTGAGTGGGAAAAGAAAGATGCACTTGATTTTTTTTTTTTTGTTATAAATGTTCTATAAATCTTAATCTTTGGACAAACTAGTGAAATAAACACTAGAATCATGTAGAGCTTAATACGAAATTTTTAACACCAAAATGACGACAGCAGCAATCGCATAGACTGAATTGGCAGTTTTGCAGTGTAAAGAGAATTGGAGCCAGAGTTGACGGCTAGTTAGTTATCTCCATTTATATATACAGTCGATGGTAGCTAGACATTTTCTCACCACAAATAGTTTGTGCATTGCGAACTTCAACACTTATGGCCATTATTGTGCAGTGCTACTATTAAATGGAAAAACGCAGCATAATACAGTACTTATCTTCCACTGCTTTCTACAGTAGTTAATTTGATTTCCATTAGGTACATTTACAAGGCCAGAAAAAAACTGAATAATGATTTTAATCAGATAAACCAAACATTAGATCTGTTTTTTTTGGGTGTGTTTAGATGCACAAAAGACTTAAGTTAAAAACACCTCATGACATGTGTTAGTTAATGAATGGACTTTTAGGGACTTTTTTTCTCTACCTTTTTTGTATTTTTGTATATTTCACATTAGTCTGCACCATGTTTTTGCTTAATTTTCCATGTCAAAACTTGTGTGGTGTGAACAATCAATCAGATTAACCACAACTTCAATGAATCAGAAAATTGTCCAATTTTTGGTGTACACAGCCACTGTATCACAACTTTGATGCAACCTCTTGTGTTTTAAATATATTATACAAATACATTGGCTGAGCTTGACAAATGTGCAATGGGAACAAAAATCTACAGTATGTTCTATGAGTAATGTTTGCATTATTGGGTTTCTTTTGCTTTTTGTTAGTGCATATTTACTTAAACCACTTCTGGGATCCACCCCAAAACAAATGACTTTGTCCTTGGCCCATTTTTATTACCACCATTTGCTTAGTTCTGTTAAACACTAGGAATGGATTAATGGAACACTATTTATAACGCTTTTTACAACACATGGGCCAAACCACTCAAATCTAGCTCTAAATAAATGTTCATATTTCACTGTCTGCCAGGAGTTTTTCCACTCATGTTCAAGGTGCTCTATGTGGCTTTTGTAGTGGAGGGTCCATGGAGATGTTATTGCTTTGTTGAGAATATTATTAGTAGCAAACCGCAAAATGTCACAAAATAAACTTCTGACCATTACTGAACATTAATGAGGATATTTTATTGTTGACTGACTGATCGTGTCTCTCTGAACAGTTGGTATTACTCAAGTTTTTAAAAATTAAAAACAATGATCCGTGTTTCCAACAGAAAAGTGGTTAGGCAAGGCGGTGCTGCCAAAAAAGGGGGGAGGGCTGCGCGTAGAGTCCATGTACAGAAAAGAAAGAGATGTATATGTATATTGCAGACCTACATGCAGATCAACCCAAAGGCAACCCAGAAAAAATCTCTTGTGACCCACCCAAGAGTCAACAATGAGTTAGAGGTCAGATCTGTAGATTGCCGACCCTACTCACAATAGAACACACGTTTTTTTTATTTCAAGGTATTTTATTTAGCAATAAAAACATGTGTAATGCAGTTAAATGCAAGTTGGATTCAGATATACATAGCTACTTTACTGATTCTGCAGCAGCAACAATGAAACAAACATGGCAACATAGCAGTCCAGCAGGTTTAATGCTAAACTGTGCAACATTCCAGGTAAAGCAATAACATCTCAATTCACATCTCAGAAAAAGTGCCAGAGTGCTTCTTTTAACCCTGATTCTTGTTGTTTTTCAGTGTGGACTTGGTTCACGCTCAGCTCCATGTGTGTGAGGGCCGCAGTCTGCCCGAGCTGGGGCTGAAACAGGAGAAGATCCGAGTAAACGGCTGTGCCATCCAGTGCAGAGTGACCACCGAGGACCCCGCTCGAGGATTCCAGCCAGACACCGGCAGGATCGAGGTAGGGTTACTCTGTCTGTCCAGTGTCTGTAATGAGCTTTTGAACACGCGCTGTCCTGCAGGGGAATGGGAGGTGTGGTTAACTGGCTCGACATGATGGTCAAAGCTCTCAGTATGGTATTAACCTCCTGATATGGTACTTGTGAGGCTTTTCTGGGGAGCTGTGTTGTAGAAAGGAGAGTTTAATATTCCCTGGTGATACTTTAGTGCTGTCATTTTTGTGATGCTGTGTTTCAGAAAATTTACAAGTGCTAGTGAGACTTGTAAATTTCACATTTCTCCCAGACTTCCTCTAAAAAATGTACTAAAAAAATAATAAAAAAACAAAGTGTAATGCTTGCAGGGGGCTAATAAGCTATGTGGTAACTAATAACCAATAACCAAAAGATCTATAATTTCCTGTTTTAATCTGTTTTATAAACATTGTAATCCACCAAATTATTAAAACAATTAGCTGAATTTGAAGTTTTATTTTTCACTGAAAACGATTGCATTATGGACGTAAGTTGTCATATACTGTAGCTGGTTAGCCTCCATCATGCCTTGAAACTCTTAGGCTACGTTTATATGATGTTCTGAACAGAAAACACAAAAGTGGCATTGCGTCTTCACTTTTTATTCTGTATTTAGACAAGCGTTATCGAGAGGAAATCTGCACACATACAGTGACGCAAAAGGGTGTGGAATTCAGTTGGGTATGCATGCCATCTGGCTCGGTGGTGAAACTAGGTGGTGATGAATGTGACGCGTACGCGACATGAGCAGATCTGACCAGAGTTTTGCGTCTTGGGCACTGTAGACAGAAACGCTACGGCAGAGTGTATTCATCTTGTCCACTCTGAAGGGTGGTTTTAGATGTTTGCGTTTTTAAGCCCCAAAACGCCATCACAGTCTGAAAAAATGGCACTTCCGATAAAATATTTTGTTGTTTTTACCTGCAAGCGTTCTCGTGTAAACAGGCCCTTAATATTTAGATTTTTGGAAGTCTATGGGAAGAATCAATGTGAAATTTACTTCGGGAACCACAGCAGGCTTTGAAGTGGGAGGAACAGTTGAGATCCATTGTTCTTTTTATTAGCAGGAACAGGGGCCAAATAGTAAATCTTGGCCCTTCAGCAAGAGAAGAGTAAATCTCACAAGTTATGCCAAATCTCTAGAATCTCTGCGCTTTGAGTTGTTGTGGGCTGTTGAAGCTGAGACGATAATGGTGTTGGCCTGTCACGATAATCACTATATCGACTTCAATATAGGATAGAGGAACAATATTTTATTCTTATTCTATATTCTTATAATATAAGATTTACTGCGTGTACTTTTTCTTCACACTAGTGAGGAAATGTGTTCTTAATTGTCTGTAGTATTAGGTCTATAATGATATTTGAGGTGTAGATGGTCCCAAAAATTCACTTTAATTCCCTGCTTTAGTGTTTCATTGCACTATTTATGTAGTAAGTTAGGCATTTATTTTGGCACATTGATGTTGTTATTGCTCATTATTGCTGCTATTTTTGTAATCTGTAATCCTTGCTCAAACTTGCTGTGAACCTTTTCATTTTCTTTGGCCTCCTGATGCTATATATAAAGGCTTGAAAGCACAATCATTATCAGCTGAATGTGGTACGAAAGATGGAGCAGCTGTATTTTCTAAGTTGTAATGAATAGTTTATCACATGGTAGGGATGAAAATTTAATTGCAGAAAAGTGCGCTAAGCATCTCATTGGAGTTGGGAAAGATAGCTTTTTAAACATGTCCCAAGTTAAATGTAGTATGACAAAGTTGATGTAAGCCAGTACGTATTCATATGAGGATACTGAAATGTAAGCCTGTCACAATAATTAATATATTGACCTAGGGATGGGCATGATTAATCGATTAATCCATAATTGATCGTTAAGAATTTCATCAATTACATTCATTTTAATCGACAAACCGAATGTAAGTTGCTCTGTGTAGCGTGACTAAACAGGGGTCCGTACATGTAGTCTCTCTGCACTCAGAAGAAGCGAGACACAAACAGTCGGTCAGTCTGCAACGTACCGAAACGCAAATGCGTATTTAACGATGACTTGTACAAGAAATTCCACGCTTTCCGTTGCTTTCGAGACAAGTGGGAGGCCATCTGCACAGTGAACAAAGCAGCACATATGTTTCGGTGTCCGGTGGGAAAAAGCTTTGCCAGGTGAGAGTCGCGCAATGTCGATAACGAGACCCCACCTCCCACCCCCCGTACGGTGTCCTGGTTTTGACAAACACAAATATGGTCACACTAACCTGTATTCCACTGAGTCATGCCGCGTCAGGGCACAAGAGCTGTTTTTTTTCCTTCACTTAGTTTATGCAAATTAGCCATGCGGTTTTAAGTTTTGTTTCTGTGAGTTAAGTAAAGCTGCATTAAACATATTAGAATGTCAAACGGATTGATGTGGCTCTAGAGTCGTTACGGTTTATATGTCGTGAAGTTGAATTTATTTATGCAGATTAGTAGTGCAAATAGTAATAATAATGATGACAATTTTAATATAAAAATGTTAATGATTAATCGATAATCGATCGTTAATTCTCCCGAATTCTCTCTCTTCGATCGATTCGAAGAAAATTGTCATCGAATGCCCATCCCTAATATTGACTTATCGCTCAAGATATTTTTTTAATTTTTATGTGTACAGTTTTCTTTGCACTGATGGGAAATTTTTTGTTATTTTTTTAGCCATAGAAGGTTGAATTTATAGTATTAAGTGTTTCATTCTGCTATTTATTACTGATTTTTGTAAGACTATTGTAGATTAAGAAAAGTTTTTGTGGTTTAAATCTGCTTTAGAGTTGTGTGAGTGGAATTCATTAGTTTCAGTATTATCCTTTATCGTGCATATTTACTTTCAGTTTCCAAATTTGTTATCGTGACAGGCCTACTAAAATGCCAACACTCATTTAAAAAACAATACATTCTTTATTATTAAGTTCACATAAATAGGTAACCTTGCCCTTTGAATATCATAAATGAAGAGCATTAAGTTCAGGTCTGATTATAGATCTGTGCGTCAACCTGTACTTAGCCACGAGCGCTGAGTGGGCTAGCTCGCCTGCGGATTTTAATCAATCAATATTTCTGTGTGTGTGTTTTTTTTTTAAATTTTTTATAGATGCTCATAATCTCACTGCAGTGCGTAACATTTATAAATATTTAACATCTTTGACATGCATTGGAGTATAGACGTCCACTTCGTGTCCATGTGTGAAGCAAACCAGTGATTTCTTCTGACAGCAATATAAAGGTCAACACAGGAGTGGCAATATTGCACAGTGTATCTTCAGTTCAGGCCAGACATGCCGCTGCTCCATCACGTCTGCGTCACACTCCCCCCTAGACGCTTCCCTGTCACTTTAGCTCGCCTCTCACCCCATATTTCATAAGTCTGATCTCCTACCTCTCCTTTAATGTGTTTTCTCTGGCTCGCTATTAGCTTTTATAGGATTCTAACAGTCCCACGAATTGCTTTTCAAATGATGAAATATGGATGAAAGCCTCTTAGCATAAATTAAAATGGACGATTTGAACATGAGTGTGGTCACTGATTTAAATAAAAATAAAATTGTGCTTAAATTGGTTTGGGAAGATAATGGCCACTTTAACCTCTGCAAAGTAAAACCAGGCATTTGACTCTTCTACAGGGACAGATTACAGATTGTAAAACCTATTGCACCCACAAGCAGAGATGGACCGATATAGGCTTTTTCATGGTCAATATCGATTGTTTAGACTTCAGAGAAACCTATGGCCATTAAGATATCTCCAGATATTTTTGGGCCGATATGTGGGGCTGATATGATTTTCTCCAATTTATGTAATTTAAATTACTACAAACGCACTCACTTCTTCTTCTTCTTTTTTTTTTAATCATACACCTAGAGAGCAGCTTAGTCATGTTTTGTACAGTTATTGCTACTTAAGTGTTCAAATTAAGTTTTGTGTCTATTCTTTTGGCAGCAGATCAGCCAAAACTAAATATCGGCCTGTGCTGGAGATTAAGGCCATTAACTGATTCATTAAAAAGTGCCAAGATTGGCAGAAATATATTGGTTTACTGATATATTGGTCTATCTCTACCTGCAAGCAGAGATGATTGGCCTTAACCTGTCAGATCTTGTGCTGATGTGGATATAGAAGGCTGAGTGGTTGTACTGAGTTCCATTGGAAATCCAATACCTAACTATATGCAGGAGGGTCTGGCACAAGACCATAAAGCATGTCAAATTGGTCTTCTGTAGGATGTGCCAATCATAGCTGCTCATTTCTAGCATGTGTCCCTTGCATATTCTTGTATTTTTATTTTGTAGGAGCATGTGGTTTTTGGCTGCCCAGGCAATCTGATTGTGGTGTGTGAATGAGAGATTGGTGTTGGTCTGAGGATGTTAAAATCCATTGTATGTGCTTTGTATACAGTGGAGTATTGCTTAGTTTATGGTTAACACGCTGCACAGTGATTGCAATAGCTCCTGCACGATCAGTGGTTTTTACCTCTAATAATATCCCTGTGTTTCTGTCATGGTGCAGGCAGTTGTCTGAGCAGTGCCCCACCGCCGACCAGGGGGAGACCGATCAATGCTGCAGTATAATTTTGTGCATGACACGTTCACTGCAGTTGGAAACTATAAATTCCAAGCCCGGCTTGTCAGGGATGCTGTGAATAAAATACGACATCTGCGGAGCGGGGGGCTTAACGCTGATGTTTCGGACTCTTCGGACAAGATTGGATTGGACTTGCACCGGTGGCTTTCCAATCAAACAAATCATCAGTTCCTGAGAAATGTGCTGCTGAAATGAATGGGGAAAGTGTTATTCTGATTTATTTCAATTGAGTTTCTGTCAATTAACTTACCTCCTGGCCCTGCTGAGTTTAGAAGACCTTCATTTGCTTTCAGTTGTTTCTCCTTGTCCCGTTTTAACAGTGAAACTCCAATCTCTGAAATATCAAAATCTAATCCTAATTATTTACCTCAAT